ATCTTCTTTTTAATTCACTCCAGCTCCCACTTCCACAAATAACATTATTCACCCTCCACTTACCAAACACATACCTCACCAGCAAAAACTGAGATTACAACATCACCCTTAGCAGCTTTCAGGGGACAAATAGGTTTGTACCTGCAAGGCTGAACATCATATCAGGACATAGAGGCTCTGATTTTCAGTATAAGAAAAAAGAGCTTTTGCTGGGGGAATTACTCAACTATCAGAATATTGGTGAAAGAAAGAAAACATCATCCTACCTAGTTTTAGACATTCTAATAAAATATCATTTCTTATTGTTCTTTTCTTCTCCAGTCATTACTTCTTATTTCTGGATAAGTTTTTTAGATTATTTTCATCCTTTCTTATTTCCAGGTGCTCAATGTCTTGGGTCTTTTCCTTCTTTGGATTCTTTTCTTTTAATCATATACTTTTAGTTTAATTTCTTCGGCTTCAGCAAAGCCTGACAGCAGCTTCTATAGACCATATATCCACTTAAAGCTTCTGTTTTATTTTCCTCAGAGGACATACATTTCAAAAACTGAACTACTGTGCTTTAGAGTCTGGATTCCTATTTCTTTTTTTATGTAATACAGTCTACTTTTGATCTTAATGATTTGTGTCTCACTAACAAGAAAGGAAAAATTACTTAAGCTATGCAAACCATCTATTAAAAACAAGTCTTTTTGGTACATCTCAACTTCTCATTTATATTATGCAGGTGAACTGCAAGAGAGATGTTAGTGGTACTCTCTGTTCAGAGACAACAATAATAGAAGCAGCACAACACTTAAGCTAGAAGGGAAAAAAAGCACACTGTCATTTTATAGTCACTTCTTTAAGCCTTTAGGTATGCACAGAAGGGCAGGTTTTGTACAGGAGTCAATAGTCATCAATTGTTCTACCATGCCAAAATGCCTCAAGAACATGTGACCATAAAAGGAAACATTTTTTTTCAACCCTTAAACAATATGGTCCTCTGGTTTCCTCTCTAAGGAAAACATCTAAGTCAAGTTTAGAAACATGATTACTTCATTGATAATTTTCAAAAATTGCCACACCTTGAATAGACAAGGCCATGAAAACTCTTTGCATGAAGACTGTTTTTGATGTACTCATCACTATTAGAGATACTTCTATAATGCATATTTTTTTCTTTGCTGCAGAAGAAAGAAAAAACAGCTAAAATTATTACAAGTAAAGAGGACACAGGACTGCAATCAACGCATAATAGACAAAACATACCTAAAAATATTCCTGTACTCTCCTTTTATCATAGAAGGGGCAGTAGAAATCTCTCAAAAATCAGTCTCCGGACACTGATGAAAAAGAATCTGACAGGATCAGAAAACTTGGTTTTGGCTAACATGGTTTGTAGCTTTCAAAGCAGTAATCACTATTCTTAACTATTAATGAACATGAAGTACAGTACAAAATTCACAGACCAAGAGTAGAATTCACCCCTGCTTTTAAAAATATAAGATGTTCAAAATAGCTTCTTCCTCAAAAAGTAAGTCACTTAAAAAAAACAATAAAATCTGTATGGGAATTCAAGGAAGGAAAAAATAAGAGTCTAAAAAGCCCTCAGTTCAAGGATAAGTCACAGGGAATAAAGGATGTAAACTTGGCCTTGTAAAAATGTGTTCCCCCAGTACTTCTGGACCAGAACACAAACCACCAAGCAGTCCCTGTAGCACAGTAATCCACTGGGGTGTTCACTACTAGCACTGTATCCTTCATAAATGCTTTAAAAGGGGAGGGGGAAAGGGACACCACGTCAAATGCTGAATTCCAGTGTATAATGGAGACTATACTTGAAGTTCATTGCTTGGGGAAAGACAATCACTTTATCCTTTTTTATCCTTTACAGAAGAAAAACCTCTATAGAAAAATGCATTATTAGTATCCAGCCAACTTGGACTTCAAATACATTCAGATCATTCAGTATATTGGAACACTAGGACAAGTTTCTAAAACATTGCAAGTTTTACAGAATCACGAGTCACTGCACAGCATGTAAGAATCTTCCACAAAGCAGAGAGGGTGGGCAGCCATACTTTGAACAAAACTTGAAAAAATAGAACCTGCAAGGGCAGTCTACAGAAATAAATTATTTTAAAACACCACACCTTAATGGAAAAAATCCTAGGATATAACTTTATTGTTAGGTAAATCCTCACTTATTTTCCTTAACTCTGTAAAAAAACCTATTTTGTAATTGCATTTGTGATAAACTAAAATTCACTCCTCCACACATGTACAGTTCTTTAATTTGAAGACTCCATAATGTTAATGCAAATTTATTAGCTAATTATTTTCCTCAAAAACATTAAAATAAAAGTAAACTAAGTAGTGGACCCACATTACCGCAAAGTTTTGACTTTAAAGGCAGTTAAAGAAAAAAAAACAGTAAAAATGTCATATCTGTTAAAAACAATTTGTGAATTTTAACATACAAATTAAAATGCAACAGCTTGGAATTACTATTCTCTTCGAACCTGGGAGGCTCAATGAATCAGTACTTCCATCCAACTGCATGACATGTAAACTTCCAAGGTACTGCCAAAACCAGTCTGCCTGCCTTTTTGTAGTACATCACCATCCAGGTCACTTTAACAGACACTGGTCAGCAGTAATGTACCCAAAAACACTCAGGTCCTGGCATCTTGACTTTAACACATGGTGATGCTATAATCAGCAAACTAGGATACAATTAACTCAATTCTTTCTTGAATATAAACAAAAGGGGCGAATGGGTATTCTTCTGACTTAAATAAGGAAACTAAGGTCAAAATTCAGATGAATTACACCTCAAATGAATTAAAAAACCCCAACATTTTAATAGGCTTTTGGAGCAGATGTCTTGTAAGATTATAAGCTCATACCTCCTCTTGAAAATTATACAGGAACACTTTGCTATTGAGATAACGTTTACTAAGCTTGCAGGGAAAGTTCTGCCCACTGACACCACTCATTCATCAGTAACTCCAGCATGCAAACCACTTGGATCACATTGGCTGTCTTCACTAACCTCGGCAGGAAGAACCTTTTCCCAGTTTTACTTCTCTTCAGGTTTTTGATTTCTGAAATATCTGGTTTATTAATATGTTTATTCAAATTCAAAATGCATATAAATATTCCAGGGAGAAGAAAACAGGTTATGCATTACCAGATTCCAGTGCTCTTCATGAATAAGACTAACACCAGGAGAGTGCACACTGAGATGAGATGAATTTTACATAGAAGGGTGAGGAGAAAGGTAAATTATTTATAATGTGCTAAAAATATGCTTTATTTATTTGATATGGGAGATTTCCAAATTACCCTTAAACTGCATTTTAAATCATCAGGCTTTTAAATATACTAACTAGTTTTGCAATAGGAGAAAACCAGATAAAGTAAGCCTTCTTTTGAATCAGCCATCATAAGGTAATATGCTATAAAGAAGCCACTAGTGGATAGGGATTATGGAAAAGGGTACCAAGAAGACCCTTTCACCCACAATTACTCTACTGTGAAGCCCCATCTGTAACTTAACTCTGGAATGTTTTTCTACTTAAAACGACCAGCATGCAAAGTGCTTTGCAGTTGTCAAAAAGGCATGTTATTTTAAACTCTCATTGCTCACTGGTAAAGAGACACCTAGTATGAAAAAAAAAAAAATACTAAAATGCTTTTAGTCAAATCTGTACATATTGGTCTCCACAATTATTTGCTGCAACACTTATAATATAATCTTAAATTGATTTTTGAAGACTTTTGTTTCATATCAACATTTCTTCTTTCAGCAATTCAGCCATTACTCAGCAACTGAGTTACTAGGATGGTCTTATTGCCACCTGTCATGCATGAGTAAATCTTATTGTACATTAAAGTGCATAAAGACTTTTCCTCAGTGCTACTTAAATATGGTTATTTCACTTATATTTCAACTCACATGTTCAGTACTCATGGCCTTATTAATAAAGACTGGGTCTCAAAGAATCTGATACAACTTGAGTACCTACTGCAGAAAGCCTTGAGACAATAGTACACAGCTCTAGAATTTCACATTTCCAAGTTATAAACTAATCACTTATCTCTGGATTGTTGAGGACCACTGATAGAATTACTCTACTTTCTTAAAAAAGCAAGGTCAAGTTATACAAAAATTCAGAGGAAGTGGTTCTGAATTCAGGTAATATCTAAAGGCAAATAAATTAAAAATACAATGTATTCATTTGTTTAATTATAAATAGATAATTTTTTACTATTATATATTCCAGCTACATCTCTCATATCTTCTAGTAAAGCCCATATCTGGCAATAGAGTCTATTAAAATATAAAAAGCCAAAAATGCCAGGTAACTTTTAATAAGCACTACCATAAATATCTCCAAGATCACATCTGAAGATATTTACAAGTAAGAAAACAAATGTTAAAGTAGGGAAAAAAACCAAAATTTAAAGAGAGGAAATGCACCAAAATTTGTACACAGTAATTTTTCACAGTAACTCAATGTACTCTGGCTAAACCATCCAGCTGGCTCCTCTCAGGTGAAAAGCATCATTTTCCTCAAGTGCAGTAATAATGGTGGCAAAAAAAAAGTTTCCAGGTCATGGTCATTGAGATAAGGCCAGCGCCCATATGAAACAATTTATCTCATAGAAAAGAAAAACTGTGAAACAATCACACAGTTGAAAAATTACAATTTAAGGTTGGCAGGTTCCACTGGAACAAACTCTTCCTATCTAATCTTAATATCTCCCAAGAACCTTTAATGATATCTTGAAAGAAACTAAAGAAGTGCAAACAGACTGCAAAGGGACACAAATGGAAAACTACATGTGTTGTATAGTTTCAGGCAGCTGTATTTGCCTAACTAAACCTGGTTGTTAGGTTGTAAGTTCTGAATCACAGCAAATATTCTTGGACAGACTCTCCTGTGGAATTTAACTCAAGTAGCTTTTTGAAACTGATTTTTCCATAGAAATTTTTGTCTGCAAGTCTAGCACTCTTCCAGAAACAGAAGCAGTGCTAGGAGTCCAGGAAGCAGAGGGCAAAGGAAGCGAGGTATGGTGCTGAGGTTCTGCAATCCCAGAAGCTTTACAGCCCTTCATGTCACTTCTTCCCACAAAGGCAGCAACCTGGAGACTTCTCCTGTTCAAGTCTACAGTATCTCCAAATCCACATGACGAACATCAGGATTTCGTTGCTGAAATAAAATTTAAAAACAATGAATTGAAAATTTTCAAATGCAATTTTGCACATGGTTACAAGTAATGTGTTTCTGGTATGATATTATCAACTAGATAACAAATTTCCTTTTTGGGTAACATAGGAACTATTTTAAAACGAGGAAGAGTTTCAATAAACATTGTCCGTATTATAAGGCATTTTTGGAGGGCTAAGTCATCTTTTTATTTGAAAAATACTTTTCAACATCATGGATAAATTAGTTCTTATGCTTTATGAAATATGGAGGAGCTCTCAATTTTAACAAGGCAGTAGAGTTTTATATAAACTCTCTATATAAACATGTGTTCAGATACACATGTATATAAATATCTCACTCTCTTAAAGTTTTAACAGATACTTTCCTGAATAATGGGTAAGATTGCTGAAATAATTTGTTCTCTGCCATGAAGCGATTTATAAAGATTCAGAACACTGTTTCTATGAAGAAATATGCATTTTCTGATATTATAGAAATATGTTATCACCATTACATGAATTGTACGATCCATGAGAAAGTCATGACTTCAAAGACATCCAGCATGTGAACCTGACTAGTATATTCAATAAAGCATATTCAATACCAACACAATCACTATATATTTTTATTTATTTATATATATATATATATATATATATATANATATATATATATATATATATATATATATATATATATATATTTATATATGCCTATACCAAAAAGCAGTATCCATGTTTATAAAAAATTTAGGCATGATCCTGCTCCTCAAAAACCATGCATGAAGAACTGATTCAGATGATGCAATTAAAATCAAAAATAATATTTTGATTCTTAAACAGGACAACCCTAGGGATAGAAACTTAAACTAGAATATTCATGAAATATAACAAGCAAGGACAGACATGCTCTTGAGTAGTGGCTCATGGCCAGAAGGAACAGTCATGGCAGGACTGCATTTATCTGGGGGTCAGTATACTGGTAGCTCTGAATTCATACCAAGAAGGTAAGACTGACAGCCCCAATACACTTAGAAAATCAAAAATGGGAACAACCCTTTCTTGCATCAGCCAGAGGATATTTAAATTGCATAATGAAAAAAATATATATAAATATATAAGACAGTTGAGAGGCTTTTGTAAAGTAAAATAAACACTGTACAGCTTCAACAAGAGTCAAAGATGTTGAGTAGTAGTCCCATCACACAGAAATATTTGATACAATGCTAAGAACCAGTTAAAAAACATTTCTTTTTTACAGCCAGCCAAAACAGACTTCAACAGCCTATAAGTAGTCTAGCATTCTGAGAATACAGTCAAAAAGACACATTCAGGTCTACTGAATGAAAATTTTTTCTATGTTGGTATATAATGGAACAAAAAATTTAATAAATGGATCAGTGGCAAAGTAAGGATTTGCTGGTGGTCAGAACATAGATAATAATACTACAGCAAGAAAACCTGCACTTGTAATATCAACTTCCTTCCTTCACTCATATTTCCAAATTAAATCCCAGAAAGCAGATGCAGAGATTTTGTTTAAAATAAATCACAGAATACGCACTCACTAATAAGCAGTTAAATTTACCTTCAGGTCCTTCTCAAGTCTGTCTACTTCAGCTCCCAGCGTGTCAACAATATTCTCACCATGCTTAAGCATAAAGGCTTCTAATTCTTCAAGGGTTTTCACTTGCTGAATTTCCTAGGAAGAAATTAAATTTAAGAGATTGAGATGAGGAAAAGAAAATAAAGGAATAACACTCCAGAGGGTCTTGACATATTTCAAGAGGGAGGAAAAAAAAACTTAAACAAAACACTTCAGCTTTTGCCATTTACTCTCAAAACATCATCTGTTCTTGTGTCTCAAAGACCCAGAAGAGTAGCATCTAGTTGATGAAAACAGCTGGCTCTGTCATTACACCTGCATTTAATACAAAACCTTCTTCTATCTTCAATTGACTTCATCCTTAAGTTTCCAAATAAGTTTAAAGAGTTTCTTTCATTTTCCAGAAGTTTCTGAGGTATTCTTCATAGCAAGGCAGAGCAGGGTACCCCTGTGTATTCTTTCTCCATTTTCTACATTCTTGCTATTCCATTACATTGCCTTCTCTGGGCATTACATTACCAACTCATCTGAAAGTCCACAGGGATTATGACAAATACTGCTGTAAATATGACTCCTCCATAATATCAGAAACTTGAAGACAGTTGACTGGAAGTCAGACTAAGAGACCAACAGCATAAAAAAGGGAAAGAATGAGATTAAGGAAGACAGGATTTTAAACTCCACTCTCTAAAAACACTACAGATATCAGCAGCACCAAAGCAGGTACTACAGTATTGCCATAGAATGACACAATGGTTTGGGTCAGAAAGGTCCTTAAAGATCACCTAGTTGTTCCCCGACTGCCATGGGCAGGGACACTTTCTGCTACACCAGGTTAGTCAGGGCCCTATCCAATCCAGCTCTAAACAACTCCAGGGATGGGGCATCCACAACTTCTCTAGGCAACCTGGTCCACTGTCTCAGCACCATGGCCACCTCAGTAAAGAGTTTTTTCTTGTATCCACTTTATGTCCATCACCTTTCAGTTTAAAGCCATGAGCTTTCCTTAGAGGTCTCACACCAACCTGTCTGGAAGCCATTTGTCCTGTAGTTTATCTCAGCTGAAGTATGTTTAGGATAAGTATGTTATTGCAAAAAGGCAAACTATGAAACAACTCATTCTTCTTGTGTATACAAGTGCATGACAGCAACTTCTCTTCCCTTCTCACTACTCCAATACTGAAGAATAATGAATTGAGCAAGCTTAAAACATACCTCAACCACAATAACCCATGGCTACAATCACAGCAAGTCTAACAAGAAAAACACCAAGGTAATCTAAATGACAGCATTTCAACAAATACTTCACAACTGTAGAAAGAATAATGTTGACAGCAGTGCTAGTTGAATGAGTTGCTTGTTTGAAAAAGTATAGGTCAAAAGGCAAGCACACTGTCTGCCTTCGACTTCAGATGGCTGAAGCCTTCTGAAAGGAGCTATCCTTCAATGACAATTTTATAGCTAACATGAGGTTTACCATATGTAACAACAATGACCTATGAAAGAAGTAGTTGCCAACCTAGAATCAATCAGGAAGATCTTTCCCAACAACACTTGAGGTATTGAAAGAACTAGTGGAGGTTGTATGCAATTGCCAAAGGGAATACCAGGTAAAGAATAAAAGCTAACAAAGCCATGAAAAGAAGACTAGTGTACTAAAAACTGCAACAGCAAAGCAACTGGTAATATAAAACCAGGCAAACTTGCAGTGTCTCAGTGGTACAAAGCTGATAGCACTCTTCCTCTCAAAATGTATTAAATTGAAGTCCTGTAGATAGATGAATAGGTCAGATATTGCACTATACATACACACACCTAATTCTTATTTTGACATTAACAGGATTTTAAAACTGGGACACTGACTTAATGATTTTAAAAATTATAATGTAAAATTTAAAAGTAAACATAACTTCTAAGGCATGCTTAATGGACAGACAAAATGCAGATATCTGCATTTCATTTTGAAAGGGTAGAAAAGAAATTTTGTAAATAAATGTACATAAGAAAGTTACCAGTGAAAACAAAAACATTGTCTTGTCAAAACATTTTGCTCACTTAAAACTCTCCTTTTAATTTAGATAAATAATTATTTTCTTCATATTTCATAATTTTGCCATATAGAATACAGCAGAGAATTAGTTGTCTCTTGAAAAGAGAGCTTAAGAAAAGCTACCCTGAACTATATTGAAATCAGAGACTGACACTTTCTAGAGATGGCTAATTCTTAAACATCATCAAAATGCTAAATTATAATGCAGGCAATCCATATTCACACCAAGTCTGAACAGCTGGACCTGTAAATCCCAGCACAGCACCACCAACACCCAGGGCAAATGGCTCTCTCAAAACAGATGCCTATTTGCAGATGACAGCTTCTAGTTTTAACTGCAGATCTTGTAATTCAATGAATGTATTGGAATAATTATGTTCTCATCATTTTTTTTTTACAGATTTGCATTTTCTAAAAAAAAAAAAGAATCCCAGAATGATAGAATATTGAGAGTGGAAGTGACACACAAGGGTTATTGACTCCAACCCTTATATAAATGGCCAGTGCAGGGAGCAAACGCACAACCTTGGCATTATTAGCACCTGGCTCTGATCACATGAACCAATTTCAAAGGTAATGAGTTAAAAAAATAATCTGCCTTCCTCCTTCTCAGGCCAAAAGTAGGTCTTCAGCAGCACATAATACAGATCTCTCTAAGTGCATTTAAAACACTAACACAAAGCAAGAACATCTGCAACCCTTCAAAGGAAGAAGTGAAATGTATCTCATCTACTTTCAAGTCTTGGGTTTAGAGGTACTTGAAATTGGAAAGTAGGTATCAAATATTGGGGGTTACAAAAGCAATTTTTTCTACATACTTGTAGCAGCTGTTCAATATCTTGTTTTTCCAGGTAAGACCGAGTAACAACACGTCCATCAAAGTCTACTTCTGCCTTGAATCTTACTTTGCTCATTCCCATGTCTGTGGCTTTAACATCATGAATTGCTCTGAAACACATACATTTTTAAAGACAATGTAAAACAACACAGAACAAACCACTAGCTAGTTTGACTTCTCATGTTAACAATACTGTCACCACAAAATGATCCTGTAATTTTACAAGGTCAGTCTTTAACAAAATAACCTCATTTTGCCCACCCACACTTCCATTAAATACTGATTTATGTTTAACTGGTTATATCACTTCCACAGATTTCTGCAACACCAACATATCTGTAAATCACTGCAATAAAAGACAGACAACCAGAAGCATCACAGATTCAGAACTAGACTAACAGTATATTTAAAAAATTCCACAATTAAAAATGTGAAAATTTAACTATTCTGTGTTAAAAGTTAAAGCCCAACTTATTTTCCACTGCAGAGAATTTCTTGTGCATATACATGACACTATTCAACAGCCTTTAAGTACCCTCAATTCTGAGGAAAGGAACAATAACCTGTTGAGAATTATTGAAAGGACACATTGCAATTACAGAAGTGTCCTTTCCTAAAGTTGGTAAATGCATAATCTTTTGGAGAGTTTTCAAAAATACATCTGACTTCAGAAAAAGTTATGGATATTGTGTTTGGAACTCATTTTTGATCCTTCAGAGCTATTAATCACAACTTATCAAGATACACCTGTTTGTAAATGCTGAAAATCTCTTTTTATTTAAAGGCTCCTAATAAATACTAGAACATGAAAGCTCTAATGTTTATAATTTTGGTCCATTGAAAAATTCTGGGTTTCTGTAGCAGAGTTTTGCTCCAGCTTGTTGGACAAATTCTAATATGTGCATATAGGTAGTAAACAAGATCTTAATTTTTCTAGGATAAGAAGCAAACTGAGGACCAAGACATACTGTGATAAATTTCAAGAGTGAAATACACACAAAATAAAATACTTGATTTTTTCCTCATTATATTAACAAAAACTCAGTTTATCTTCAATGCCAAGAAAATTTTAAATTGCCACTGCAGAGCAAGTTTCCATATTTTCCCAGCAAAGTCAGAAAAAACAAGTGGACACTAAAACACAGGACACAAATCACAACAGGTTCACATTTTTTAAATTCTTGCTTCTAACATTTTCAAAGTAAAACAAGTATAAAAGATTTCAAAGACTTTTAGTTTTATTAAGAGAAAAATGCATTCTTGACTATTTGGTAAATTCTAACACAAGAGATTCAGCAATGCAGCTCACTTGATGGAAAGTACCAAACTTGACTAAACTGTGGAATGTCACAGAATCTGTAAATTTAGCATGCCCTTTGTCTTAAGCAAATTTACTCTTCCCAACTAGAAATGCTTCTTTGCATCTGAATGTTTATAAATCAGAAATAAATTCACAGGCAGTGCAGGAAGAAGGCAGAAGGCATTATGTTGGAAGGAGCCTGTTAGAATGAACAGCCAAAACAGAACAGGAGACAGAAACTACAAGACAAATAATCACAGGAAATTTTTACAGAATACTTCTTGTAATACTCAGGGTGGAGGAGAGGTAAGCATATTAAAAAAGAAACAGAACACGAACTAAATAGAGAGAAACCAAAAAATACATCTTAGCAAATATTTAAGCAGATGAAAAGAACCATCAGCTTACTGGTACCAATAAAGACTTTCCAGCTCCATTCCAATTCACACAACTGTTCTGCAGGAAGTTATCAAATCAAAACAGTATTAATCGGAGTAAACTACATGACATCAAACTACCTTATTCCAAAGAGGGTATTTAAAGTAACAGATGGGTTAATAAAGAGAATTTGGAGCCACGTGATTCAAAAATGTCGAAGACATATCAAGTGCCTATCAGAACTAAGCAAGAAGATAACAAGTGGTATTTGAGATTCTCATTAAGCAGTAGCCTGATAAAATTCAGTTAAATTAAGCATATTCTATAAATATGAAGGAAAACAGTCTACCTTAGTGCACGTAATCTGCCCAGGAAAGACAAGACAGTGAATCAGAAGGAAAAAAATCAATAACCATTCAAAAATACAGGTGTGTAAGGTCAATCTTAAGCTACAAAGGTTGTTTATGGAAGCTTCTGGATGGTTAGTAGAAACCATAAATTCTAACTAGGGAAAAGAGCAAGTTTCAAATTAATGAAAAATTTGTCAGAGAACATCAAGTTACTGGGTTTGAGCAATTGGTTGTAATATTTTTGGTTTTTGTTCAAACCAGAATGACAGATTTTCCAGCACAACAGAAGCACAACTACACAACAGCTGTTACAATGAAGTAAAATTAAAGATGAAACTGTCACTGAAAATAGCTTATGTCTAGGAATCTGTGATTAAATTCCATAAGAACAGAATCAGGACAGAGTCTGTACCACATCACATATTTTATTTCACAGTTATGAAGGGCTAATCTCCCATAGTTCAGTTAAGCTGAACACAAGAATGATTTATACACCAAAGGTGTCAATGAGAGTTAAGAATTGAATGTTTGTATAGCAAAAATAAAATCAAATAATTTTCCACCTGAGAGCAACTCTGAAAGCCTATTCAGGATCATGAGTTAAATATGGGACACAACTAGAAATTACTAAGAAAAATGAAAAGAAATGAGAAATTATAAAGTCCAGCAAGCTGAAAGGAGAAGCAGAAGAAAAAGTCACAGAGTGTGATACAAACCAACTTTTTTAAAGTATATCAAAACCAAAAGATAACATGGAAACAAGCCTGCTACTAGACAGAAATGGAAAATTGTTACTGATTAAACAGAATAGGAAAAATCATGCACTAATTGTCTTCTTAATCTAAAAAAGCAAGATTATATTAGTACAATAAAGCACTTCCCTACTTAGAGCAGAGAAGCATACTGGATATTTAAATGAAAAAAAAAATGCTTCTAATCCAACAGGTTCCACAACTTATATTCAAGAGTTAAAAGAACTAAGAATAACTGTGGAGGCAAATTAATTTTTCATCTAGCCATGCTGATGAGAATTAAAACACAAACCAGATTAACAACACTGTGCCAAAATTTAAGAAGAGTAAATAAGTCCACCTATTTAAGTGAGGACAGTTTCACCTGACAAAAACTGAAGGAAAATAGTTAGAAAGGTGGAGAGAAAAATTCTATATTAAGAACACTAATTTCAGTCATTAAGATTTCAGGGAATATAGATCTGGTCAAACAATCTTGCTATAAAAAAAAATTAAAGAATCAAAGATTTAGTTGAAAAAATATCACCACCAGAGAGATTTATTTTAGTAGGACAGCAGTTAGTATTGCCTGATAATCAAATACTTTATAATTAGCAGTGGATCACAATGTTCTGGCAAGCTACTGCTGGAACAGCAATTTAAGTGTGGTGCTAACAGGGGCTGAGGGAGTAGATCTCAGAGCCCCGGGATCCTTTTGTCCATTTGGATCTAAAATACTTTCTGATGAATACTGAATGATTCCCTAAGAGATCTCCTCCTGACTTGGCAAAACACAACTGAAGGTAAACATTGCAAACCATGCCTGAAAGAATAAGGGAGGAATATTCTGGGAGCAGCAACTGCAAAAAACATTGCATTGAGAACTGAAAGCCCTGAAAGGTTGAAATAAAAAAGCAAATATTAGTCACTATTAGAAGCAGGCCAGTAATCTGGAGCTTTTTCTTTTACATTTGGTTTCAGAAGGATATGTAAGACTACAACACACTACTAAACATCTCCATTTAAGAAAATGTGAGTTTGAATGTTCAAGAAAATGCTGACACTCCTAGAAGTCCAAAGCTTATGTTGAGGAAAATATACAGGTAGCCCTTTGGATAAATACTTAATATTAAAAGGCTTCCTCTTCCTCATTTCAGCTTCTATGATTTCTTTTTTCCTTATTTCAGCCTTAGGTTTGTTTTTTTCAGCCTTTTCTCCAAATCATACCTACCTATACCTAGTAACAAGCAAGGGTAATACAAGCTTACATTGCAGAGAACTGAGATTAAGACCAGATGTCATCTTAGAAGAAGTACATTTCCCAAGCTAGAGACAGCAGACTTGTGGTAAGAACTTAGTCAAAGACAAAGTGGACACTGAAAGAAATCAAAGCTGGTAACATCATGGATCTAAGAAAGAGATAACTGAAGACAAAGTGAATACAGAGAGTAGGATAAGCACCTAAACATGTTTCAGCTTCTAACCTCAAAAAAATCAAAATTCACAGTTTCTCACAAGTCTTTATTTCTTTTATTATTTATGTTTTTTTTTTAATTAAAGTACTTGTTTTTAAAAAACGTTTACAACAAGAAGAACATGAACTAAGTCTGCTCTGTTGGGAAGTTAGAGCCACCTACAAAATGGAATACATTATAAAATGGTATTTGGCCTAGGAAAAATTTTATTATTTCAGCCTGAGACAAACAAAAGCCACCTGTGCACTTTGGAAAAAAGAACTACAGAAGTCATGTACATGTGAACTCACCTACTCTAACATAGCACTGTTGACACATTCTTCACCATTCAGACTAATCCAGGGCCACCACAAATACCTAATTTACTGACATGTGTAAATTGTAACAAATAGGATTCTTGTTTGGTTTCTGGAATGAAGGGCATGTCATCCAGACTTCTTGCTTGGAACTGTGATGGTGCCAGCACTTAGTTCCTTTCAAGTACTCTGGTATCATTAACTAATGGATATGGAGGTTTTCCCTCCACAGCTCAAAAACTACTTCAAATTAAAAAAGCACTACAATACTTCAGCTGATTTACACAGAAATATATTCCTAAATAAAGATCTAAAAGAAAACAAAAAGAAGTTTGCTTCTAAATCAAGATTAATAGGGTAAGGCTAAACAGCTCATTGAAAAGCATTTAAGCAAGATTTAGAATTACAGTGAGCTATCAGTTTACTACACATTGCAGACTTGCTAAGAAGGAAAAATTAGCAATGAGTAAATTTATAAGCATATAACATGAAGAATCCATGGCATCATGTACTACTGCAGCATGTCCTGCTGACTGCTACAGAATTCCACACACTGAATATAAACAGTAACAGAATTTAAATATTTAGGTGCTAATAAACTATTCAAGCAACATAACAGTATCATTAAAGTGCTTGAATTTAATGAATTTGAAAACAGTTTAAAGTTTGTGATGGCTTTCTCATTAGGTCATTGTCAATTCCTGTAATTAATGTAACAGTTGGAATGTATCTGCAATGTTATTTTAGCTGTTGAACACCCAAGAGGTACAAGTATTATTTTACTAAAAGTTTTAGCACAGAAATAGAAGTTAGCAATAATAAAGACTCTAGAATCCCAATATAGAAGACTCCACACTAAAAATAATCTTACCAGATTTCTCTCATTACATGTTGTTTTCTTGCTTTTTGTTAGTTGTTGCTGACAGCAGAGACTGAGCTGTAGAGGTTCTTACCTTACTACAGGATCATTCTCCAGGAACTCGGTGAGCCGCTGCAGCTGCTCAGGCTCGATGGATCGTCCCAGCAGGGCTTCAGTGTTAGTGTAGATTAGAAATGCTGACACAGTTCCTAACAAAGTTCCAACACCCAGAGACCCCACACTGTCGTAATAGGGGTTTCCTAAACGAGATACAGCAAATTAGTTTCACAGTGTTTCTAAAATATAGCAGAGAATTCTAATTTCACACTGAAAAGAGTTCATAGTTTTGAAGGGTTTTCTGGGTTTTGTTTTTAGTGAGTTTTTTTGGTTGGTGTGTTTTTTTCTTAGTCAATCATTTATTTTACTTTTTTCTTCTCTTAATTCAGTGGAAATTTTTTCCTATTGAGGAACATGATGAAGCTGGAACAAAACAATTTATCATAAAACAAAGCCTTAAGTCCCTCCTGTCCCTTGACCACTCCTGTCTCCTGCAGGACTAATAAATGAGTAAACTCTTGTCTGTGTTTTTGTATTAGTAAACATAAATTTATATACAAAGTTATATACACTGAAACATAGGTAGCAGCACAAAATCCAGTGGTTTTCTATCAGTAACTAAAAAATTTGCAAGTATTAACTTGCAAATTAATGTTTCTGGAATACAGTACTTAAGTTTCAAACACTTATTCATGTTCAGACCTATAGAAATAGTACTGTGTTTTTAAGTTGATGAAAGAAACTAGAAATTAAATTTTAAAATTCCTTCTATATAAAAAGTGAAACTTGCAATTAAGTCATTGGAAGCCACAAGAAACAAAATTCCAATATTTATTCTCTTTAAAAAAAATCAATACTTAAAAAGAGATGAATAAGTAATCATCCCTCTTTAGAAAATTTAACTATGCAGCAAAGATGCACTTTGAACCACTTGGCATACACATCATCTTACCTTTAGTAAAAAACGACTTAGTTTGTATGACAAAACAGCTCAAAGATCTGCTTACAGAGACCAAGTCAACCAACATAAACTAAATGCTCTGTGTTCATATCCATACATGGGAAAAAATCCGCATTCTGCCTGCCTCTGTGCAGAATTTTACCTGTTAAAGAAGTCAGTCCCATACAGGTAGCAGCTACAGCCACGCTCAGGACTGCTGCAGCATCCTCCAGTAACACCACGTTGGTACTGGGATCACGACTCTGCACAACTGCACACACAACACAAAAAAGTTACATTGCTCTGAAAATTTAGCTTTACTATGTTGTGCATAGCACTTAAACTATACTAACAACAGCAATTTAAAAGAATAATTTATGCAATTATATAGGTGTAAACTGAATTTTTGCATATACTCACAATTCTGAAAGCATTTATACATAAACAGAACAAGCCCAATTATGGCAGCTTCTCAAAAATGTTAGAAAAATTAAAAGGGGCATTTATCATGAAAAATACCTGCACTTAGCCAAGTGTTTAACAGCACTCTTAAATCAACAGTTCTCACCTAATTTGTAAAATGTTATTTGTTAGTAGAATAGAAAACAGATCAATAAAGGGAAAAGTAAAAGGAAAAACAGAAAATTGTTTCTATCATTATAGAAATACTAGTGAACAGACTGTGTTTTAAATAACACCACATACCTTACTGCTATAATGATACTTACCATATTGATAAAATGAAAGACCCTTGGCTCGAGCACTCCTCCGAATTTCATTTATAGCAACAAGCAGGGTGGCTGAAACAACAAAGATGTTGCTGAAAATTGCTAGAGGCAGAAGGACTTGTTTCCATTTTGAAAAGAGGAGCTTTTGGTTATATTATCATAGCAACAGATCATCAAGAAAGCTCTGATTGTAGGTACTTTGAATAAAGTATAGTTACTTTTTTTTCCACAAGTGTGTCTCCCACACAAATCAGAACAGTTACATTCATTGATAGTTTAATACCAAAAAGACAATCCATGTCTACTTTCCAAATTTTGTGTTCTCCAACTTCTTACTATACAGACATGTATAAAAAAGAAAAGTTTTCACATGATACTTTTTCTTTGTTTACAAGTATCTGTAAACAACAGAGCTCAAAATTTCACTGTGTAAGCAAAGATCAATTATTATGTAATTACTGACATTTGTAAAATGTTATTATCTTAAGAGATTACAAATACTTAAATAGAAACTTGAAACTGCATACCTCCTTCTGATACCAATGATCCTGCTAAAATGCAGTATGCCTGTATGGAAAAAACAAGAATCAGATATGATATAATATTATATTATATGCATATTTCTACAGATCTTTTCACCACAGGCTATCCAAATGTAGCATTCCAGAACCACATTACCCACCGTGTCATGTAATTATCCCTAAACAGAAGCAAACCAATAATAATTGGATCATATATTGGATCAATATATTCCAAAACAGGCAAGCAAGACCTCTTGGAGTGGGGGGATATGAAAGGAAGATGCAGGGTTTAGAGAACAGCTCATTTTGCTGCAGGATCAACTATAGTTTAAAGATTTTTTTTTTCTTAAAACACATTTTCATCAAAAATGGTTTGAGTTAATTGTGCTGAGACTCAGACTGACTCAGGAAGAGCATTTCAGACTATGCCACTATTTTTTATTGAGTCACTGGTGTTAAATAGAATACCAAACAAGATTAGCTTACCCAGAGAAGAGATTCTACAGGATGAGGGTGGAGTAAACCTATGATCCCATGATACCAAGAAAGTCCTGCACCCATCATGAAAATGCCTACTCCACTGATCAGGGAGGCAATATAGCGCATATTTGTGAAACCATACCTAGAAGAAAGAAAAGAAAATTATTTTAGGAATATAAGTTTCTACATCTCCACAAACATGCCTCATATTAATTTTTACATGTCTTAAATTATCATCATATGAGCTGAGATCTATTTAAAACAAAGCCGCTAAATCCAATCTAATCCAAGGGAAAAAAAAAACCTACTTGAAAAACTAAAAAGACCCCAAAATAAACAACATTTGTACCACTTTAGGATTTTAGTGAAATGCTACTTCTAAATATGAACTCTAGTTTTGTGAGCAGCCAGTCTACATAATTCATAAAGCTAATTTAATGGGAATAAAATTTACACATCTCTCAGTAGTTCAGCTAACTACAGGCATCCAACACTGGCAGTTTTTAAGTGCAGTGGAGAAATTAAAGCAATATCAGAAGTTTGTGTTGAATCCTTTTTTTGGTTTTAACACCATCTACAAACAGCACACTTCTTTTGTCTATATTGAGGAAAAAGGGAAAGGAGCAAGAGGGAAAAATGAGATATGATGAATATTTGCACAAGTTTAAGATTTAAATTTTTCAAATTTTAATGATGCAATCAATGAAAAAAAGCATAACTAATCCCATAAATTAGATGTATTTTTGAAGTAGTTCTTAAAGAATTAATGACTTGTCCAAACATGTGAGGAATAAAACTGCTCAACACTGAGAAAATATAATGGAGAGTACAGCTTATAACTTTCATGAACTTGTAAGAACTTATTAAGTAATATTCCTATTACTAGATACAAACAAAGAGCAGTTTATATCAAACACATCTCCTTATGGTACAAGTAACGAGCTTGCATAAAAGCACTTTGTTGAAAAAAGGAAGAGGACAGTAATTTTTATTTTTTATAAAATCTCGTGATTCATATGAACAGTGTTTAAAAAGTAGATATATTAGCTGGAAGAGGCAGAAGAGCCCAGAACACCTTAGAGAAATAATGACAATTAAAATAAAACATAGCAAAAGTGTACTACCAAAAAAAAAAAAACCAACACATGCACCAAGCCATTGAAGCTCCAACTCCTAGAGCTTGAAAGAAAATCCTTTTCTTATTTTATCTGTTGTAAAATCAGATATAATATGCTTCAGAAATGACAGAAAACAGCAAATTAAAAAGAACAAGGTGATGCACAAACAAGAATTGATCTTAACTGCTATATATAGTTAGCAAAATCTTTATTTACTCAAAAAGCTTACGGATGACTAGGGTCAGGTGTCCTTGCAGACTGACTGATGCCCAAAGCCAGCAATGCCTATTTAAGACAAAAGATTTAAAAAAAATTTAGAAACTTTCTGTATCAACTGAACATGAAAGGTAAAGGCAGATGTAATTTGCTGAACTGCATATATGCTTTGCTACTGATATCTTATTAGAGCTGGAATATAATCTTCAAAATTTGTAATCTAAATTTGCCACTCCCAAAAAATTGTTAGTTATACCTACATACATAATATATATGCAATTATATGGTGTGTGTATACATAATTACTGTTAATTATAATTTTAGAATCACAACTGAAAATGAACATTACATGCAATCACAGGTGTTGTTACTGTGCTTCAGTGTGAAGGAATGAAGTTGCTCAGGGAACAAAGCTATTTAAATAAATCCCTCTGGAAGAGAAACTATACTGAGACTGAGGTGTAGAAGGGTGAGGACAACATTTAAAGCAGTAACTTTACACTGCAACTTGTCAGCATATTTTGAAGGAAGAAATAACCTCTTGCTATCTAAATTCCCTACCTGGGATATATTTAATTAGGCATGTATTAAGTAGTTGATGCAGGAAGTTATAAACCTAAACCTGAATTTTGCAAAGCATGTGTTTTGTTTAAGACTATGGATAATGAAACATAGTAACAATTAGTCTTAGCAGCAGCAAGCTGCTTTGAGGAAGCAAGGCTTCTCCTGTGTTTTTCCCAAAACCACACACTCAATTATTTGGAAAAACAAAACAAACCCTCCCCATCTCAGTAGAACTTTCAACTTTGATATTTAAAAAACAGAATAGCTCTTCAATATATATAATACCACATCAAACTTGGTTCACCTGTACATTGACACACTTGGCCAAGTGAAAAAATGCACACTTTAATACTTAAATTAATGGGGAGGCCAGCCTTAGCAGTTGAATTAGAAAACACTGGAGAAAACAACATTAATTTTATCCCTGCACATTAATATTACATATCCAATTCTGAGCCTGCCACTCTACTTCTCAAAGTAAACATGCCACATATGTGGCTACTTGTGCTGTGACAGGCTGATAGGTAATCAAGAAATAGAAAAAGAAAACAAGATGCTCAAATTTTCATCATTATTCTACCTAGAGATGAATAAGTAACAAAGTCTGTCATTGTATTATAGTAACTGACAGAAAAAGCATTTCTAGTTAACATTTAACCAAAACACAAACCAAAATAATTTTAGTTTCAAATACCACTCATGATCCATGAAGTAGCTGAGTACAGTTCTTATTGCAACTCCACTCTTTCAACTTATTTCTAAAAACCTTCAAAATCTACATTCTGACTTCTCCTTTTAACACTTATACAAATTTAGAATCATCCTATTTTGTTTATTCAAGTGCATTATAACTACTGTAAGTATCTGTCTTTATTCCCAGTTTTATTACAAGTACTAACTTGAGCAGAATGGAAAAAAATACTCACCTGGTTACATGTGTCTGCTAAAGAATGTATGGCTTCTGAAAACATACTTGCAGAACCCGTGTAAACCCAAGCAAGCAACTTAAAGAAAAAATTCAACCCATTTCTGAAAAGAAAGAGAAGAAATAACAGAATATTTGATGTTAAATATTTCCAGCAAAGCCAGAAGTGCAGTACAATCATGTGTTATCTGCCAGAAAGGGGTCAACTCAAATATCAGTTTAATAATTAGAGAGCTGTGCAAACAGATAATTGATAGAGATTTTCTGCATGGTTACTGTGAAAAAAGTCCTTTCAGCTAAACTTGATAAAGATACACAATTTATTTTTCAGAAATCATTAACTTCTAAGCAGTTCCAAATAAGTTACACTTCCTGAAAACTACCATCACACTCACTACTCAGAACAACTAATTGTCTACCAGTGGGAGAATACAAGTCTTTACAACTTCCTTATCTATGTTCAGTGTAAATTGTAAAGACATTTTTACAACTACAGGTTTACTGGAGTAAACATTGTCTTATGTTGCACAGAGGTAACTATTAACTCCAAAGTCCAAGTCTACATTCTCACTTCAAACATTATCAGAATCAGTAGGTTAATTGCTACAAATATATTGCATAGAAAATAAGACTAGAGAATTATAATATCCTCCTCTATATTTTTAACATGAGTTTCACTTATTGCCAATTTTTAAAATATCTAAATAAATTAAGTGTTATAAGAAACTATTAACAACATTTTCTAGTGGCATATTTTAACGTGTGCCAGAAATTATATTCAAGTTAGAAGAAACAAACCCAGCAGCTTCTGAGAATGCAGCTTTCAATTAGAAAAGAAATAACAGTTTACAGAGAAAAGTGACTTCTTTTCTGTTGGTCATTTAGAAAATTCTTTAAAATGTATGAAAAGCTTCCTCTCAAGAAGGAGCAAGAAAAATGGACAACTTTAAATACCTGCTGCTTCAGATCCTACAAAATTTTGGTTTTTACTTTAAGAAACTATTATAGGGTAATACACTCCAAAAAAATTGCTCTTCTCTCATCAGAGATATATTCAATGCCTGACCTCCATGTATCGATCAATGTATTCACATAAATTCTCTTCTATCTCTAAATAAACAAATAAATCTATTAACTTTAGTTACAGACACAGGCATTTTTATCTTAAATACACACACTGCTACTACTTCCAGGATAATATAAATAAATTACTTTTTATTGCATAAACAAGACTTTTTTTTTTTTTTACTTACATGCAAATAGCTACCATTACCACCTTCCCTGGTCCCTTGAAAAACATAGCTGCTGTACTGGAGCGTGGCTACATAAAGAAATAACAGATTATTTAATAATTAAATCTTGATCTCATGAGACACCAAACATACAAATTAAATAAAAAACTCTGCACTGCCCTGTACTGCAAAAGTTCTGAAAGGAAACTAATTTACTACTAAATGTTCAGCCAAACTGCAGTTGGATCTTATGTATTTCTACAAATAGTTGGCCATTAAAGAGATAAACTCCAATGAAGTCTCCAGCAGAGGCCACTGCAGCCATAAGGCCCAGAGCCCACTAAGGAATCATTCTGTACACCCAACCACCTAGATCTAGGGTGTGTGTCTGCTTAAGCAAAAGGTAAGGGCCAGCAGTGCATAGACAAAAGCAATCATCTTCTTGGGTCTTTTTTTTTAAAGAAACTTACTTAGGTTTTTTAAATTAACAATATATTCACTACACATAGTAATAGGTTATACTTGAAATCATGATTTGCATGATTTTGACAAGATTTTTGACAGCTGCAGTTTTGACAAGAAGGCAAGAAAGAAAACTCTCTTTCTGGTGGATTACATTGTCACAGTAGGAACCCATTCAAGCTGTCATTGCAACATTTACTACTGCATAACAATCAGATATAGATATGGTATATTACAGTGCAAAAAAATCTTCCAGTAATATTCAGTTACACAAATTTTCCTTCAAAAGGTGTCGTAACACATTTCACTATACTTTTCTAGCCAAACACTTGAAAATGACCTTACCTTAGTATTTCCAAAGAACTCCTTGTATTCCCACAACAGCCTTTGGTTTCTAAACAGATCTGCAGTACAAAATTTGCATTGTGAATATGTATTAGCAACCAGTAGCTTTAGGAAATGAAGTCTACTTTTTTTATGCAGCAGCTGACTTCTAATAAGAGCTAGATGATCTATGAAAGAATTCCTCCCTTGATGTTGTTAATCAGAAACACATGTTGTTATACACTCATGCAAAATGCCAAATACAACCTGTAATGATCCTATACATTGTTACCATTTCTACCAACAAATGATAATGCACAGAGAAAAAACTCAAAATATACTTCTGCAAATTCATTTTATTTATACACTTCATTTTATTCACTACACTTTCAGTATACTTACAGATACCTCAACGAGTGTCTGCAGTTCCAGCTTTTCTGACAGAAGGGTGTTCTTGTGGCACAATGTTCCAAAAAAAATTGACCTCTCATTTTAAGGTACACAACCAGACTAAGTATCTTGAAGCAGTATTGCCTCTTGTGTGATTTTTACTGACTAGACAGATCCAAATACGTCACGAACTACTGATTTGGCTGTACATGGTATTCATAATACCAGCAAGGATAACAAAAATAATATTACATAAATTAAAAAATATTATTTGGGCGTACTTCTCCCCTTCTGAAACACAAAGGCAAGCTGATTTCTTCTCAGAGGAAAAAAATTAATGAATAGTGTCATGGTGTAAAGATTTGGATCAGTTTTAACTCTTTTCAAAATTCTCAATTAGATAAAATGCAAAAGCATTGAAAATGTAAATTATCATCAAAAAACTGAAAGCCCTCCCTCAAGAGTATGTCCACAGAACGCCAAATGCATGTTCTTCCTGTAGCAGAAAGGTGATAAATTGCAAGATAGTAACAGACTGTATCTGCACAGATAGTAACATTTTACTCTAAGATTATGCCGCAAAACCTAGTCAGCAATTGCTAGTTACAAATTTACAAGCTTTCAATAAAGTAATGCTACCTTGTAGATTCCTAACAAACACACTTCTTGTGACATTTGAAGGTATTTGAACACTACATACTCACTTTCTCTGTACTTGATCTCTGCCTCTTTACGTCGCTTTCTTTCTCTGGCAAGAGCCTCTGGACTACCCCAAACTTCAAGAGACCTGCATGAAGTAAAAGTATCTTAAAAATGTTTCTATTCATGCAACATTTTTTCAAGCATAAAACCATACTGTTGAGTTTTTTATACACAATGTAATTATATAATCATGATATAACATATGCTCAGATAGAAAATGGAAAACCTTACTGCCCTTTCACATTGCAAACCTGACTTTTAAAACTCTACTCTCTCTCACATCATCCTTTTCAAATGTTCTTACTTTGCCTCTACGTCCGACCTCAGGTACACCGTGAAAGTCTCAGTGTCATCATGGGGACTTCGTCGTTTAATTTTTCTCAGCTGGTCTAAATCACTAAGGAAAGTGGACAAAGAATTTAGTGTAAGAAAAGGAACTTATTGTTCTAATTTGACTTTTATGTCTGGGTGATGATCCACCACTTTGATATTACTAATTACTAAAAAAAAGTGAAGTTGTCTAATTCAAACAGAACAGACAGACAACATGAAGAAAGTGATCTCCTCCATTGAAAACTACTGTTTTTCACATCCAGAAGTCCAAATCATGTCTTCATACTATGAAATACTACACACTGAAGACAAAGAATTAAAACACTAAATAATAAAACATTCAATGAATGATCTGTATGTAACTGATAATGCACACATATGACAAACAAGAGGCTCCATGAATTACCCTCTCTAAATGGAAATCAGCAGTCATGTGACAAGAAAATTTAATCCCAAAATTTACACTCCGAGCACAAACTGCAAAAGGCTGAAGATAACAAAGCTACTTGGGGAAACAGACAAAATTTCCTGTGCTGAGCTATACATTAGGGCATCTAAACCATTATGTAAAAACAGGAGGAACAGAGGTGTCTCCCTCCAAGCAGATTTATGGTCTCATGAGTACAAATCAACTACTTTAAGAAGCAAGTACTGAAACATGAATATTGTACAAGCTCCTAGTCCACTGTAAAACTAAGCAAGAACTAGCTTCAGCCACTTACAATTATGTACACCACAAAAACATTTAGAAAAATTTGCGCAAAATCACTCTACAATCACAATTACTTCTCATGCACATATGAACAAATATTCAGAATTTAAATCTCAACTCAAACCCATCATACCTGGATTTAAGACAAAACTCATTTATTGCTCTGACTCCAGTGATGAAGTTATTCTGTGTGTATTTTGGTCCATACTCTCTTTTTTTAAGGACTGGTTTCACTTTAAAAAAAAAAAATAGATACACAAGTCACTCATAGAAACTATAGCAGAAACTTCAAAAATTAATTCAATCTAGTGTCATATTGTGATATCTCTTTGTGGAAATCTGGAAAACAGTGTCAGTGATACAGAAAATTGCCAGAAAGGTATCCTCCTCATTGTGGAAATGAGCAAGGTAGAATGATTTACCTCCAAAACTGCTACTTTCTAAGCTGTAGTCCAGGGTTCTCAAACCTAACTGCCACAGTCAGCTACTTCTCCAACTCTGATGTCAGAGATGGTGCTTGGCTACATAAATAGTATTCAAATATGGCCATTTGGAAACCCTTTGAAAAAAAGCTGTTTCATTCAAATATTGCCATTTGGAAACCCTTGGTCTAAAAACTGAAATAGCAACAGACTGCTCCATTTCTATTTTTTCCAATAATTAAGTCCACTTTCTGCTGTTAAGACTTTTGACCTTTGCAGAGCATACAGAGAAATGAGACAGACTGTATACATTATTTTTCTCAACTATTATGTTCAAATTTATTACTCTTAACATTGGGCATTTACACCAATTAAAAACATACATGATTTATTTATAATGCTTTTTATGTCTGGAAGATGTCCTCTCATCACATCAGATTTTTCATGCACAAGGAAAAGAATACCACACATATTTAGAGAAATTATAAATGGAATTTTAAATTTATGCTATTATTTTCTACTGGTCGTACGTACATAATTTCATCTTACTCTCAAAAGTAAGTCACTGCACACTAACATGCATTAAAAACACATTTATTGGAAGACAAGTTACATTCAGAAGAATATAACACAACTAACAAACACTATAATGTAACTAACATTACAGAATACAACTTAAAACAAAAAGCTCAGATTCTCCTGGTGAGAAGACTTTAGGAAACACATGAACTTCTTATAAATGACAGGATTGATATGATTTCTATAGCTGGTCCAGAACTACTCCTAAAGTCACAGGATACTTACAGAAAGATAATGCTTTTAAAGACTCTGAGAAAATTTTTCCCAGAATTCTACATTGCCTTATTTCTGTGTTTTGATGCTTAACAGCAAAATATATTGCTGACTCCCCATGACACACTAACAGCACAGGTATTAATATTTATCATAATAATCTGATTTCTCTCATCCAATTTGAACTTGAAGAATTTTTTAAGTCCCTGAATAATCACATCCATGCCACAAAGCTCCTGAGTGAAAGTGATGAAAAAATCTTTAAGATATTTCCTAAAAACAGCACACAATTTACTGAGGTTAGAACAGACTGATCATTTTTAATAAAAAACACTTCCCATCTTTTATTTAAAACAAAAATATGCCCAACTCATATTAACCTCACTAAAAAACAACACATGGATTTATCAAAAAACTTACTAACTCACCTTTCAGAAATACAGGTAAATTTCACTAAAATAAATTACATATTGTACATTGTATATATTGTACTGTAATTGTATATTGCACAGCGTACCAACAATCCTCCTCCTTATACAGTTTCAAATAACTGTATAAAACTGTAGTAAATGTGGAGGGAAAAAACCTCTATTTGGTGTTTCCAAAAGAAAAAAGATGATGTAACTAAAACCCTTTAAAAAGCACACTTAAGATTAGTGAGCATTTAAAAATGTTACTGTCTTTCCAAGACTTAGTAATATTTGGAGTGGTAAGTTTCTAAGCCAGAGCAGCATTTTAAGACTAGAATTCCACTTTCTAGACACTAGCAAAATCCTTGACATAAACATTTCTCCTTGCACATCTTTAATTAAGAGAGAGGAAACTCTTACTGGAACATATATCTATTTTCACAATTATTTCACAGAAATTTCTCCTATCTACCTTGCATTTTTTCTCCGCAGGCATACACTAAGACACAATAAATCTAAAGAAACTGACATCCTCCTGCACCACTGGGGTTGAGAAGGTAGAGAAAGCAGGAAAAGATTAAGCCTGGGAAGAAGTGAAGGGTTAGAGGAAGGTATTTAAAGATTTAGTTTTTATTTCTCAGTACTGTAGCCTGATAAAATAACTGACTTTCCCCAAGGCCAATCTGTTTTGCTCATGATAGTAATTGGTGAGTGATCTCTCCCTGTCCTTATCTCAACTCATAAGCCTTTCATTCCATTTCCTCTACCCTATCCAGCTAAGGAGGGGAGTGACAGACCAGTGTGGGTGGGCACCTCGTGTCCAGCCAGTGCCAAGCCCACCACATTACTGCACACAACTGGGAATTGTACAGAACTCAGATTAGGCAGTTCATGTGGTCAAAATATATTTAGAAGCAACACTGATTAGATTAACTCAGTAATAAGAAAGAACAGAGGAAGACTTAGAACAAGGAACAGGGAAGATCAAGTATTCAGCTTAGCCACATTAAGTCTGAGAGAGAGAATGGACACAACTGAAAATACACAAGGAGGACAGACTGCAACAGCACATGAAAAAACAAATCAGTCTTCTCCTGATGAACTCTGCAGCTTAAATGAAAATTACAAACAAACACAGAAGAGTGAGTAATTAGAAGGAATAGTGCTATGCTTGGTTTTTATGAGTCATTTTGAAACAAACTGTACCAAACAAAGCTGGCACACAAGTGTGCTTTAAAATGCTATTCACATAACTTGCTTACACAATTTTTATGTCTGGAAGAGGAGACACAGTTTCCTTTTTTGACTGCTAGCAAACAGCAGGAAAATTCCAATACACTAAGTATTTCTTTACCTTTTACTTGGATTGGCTGTTTAGGTGAAGACTGCTTTTGTCCTGCATTGGTTGTATCTTGTCCTATACAATAAAATTAAAGTTCACTGTAAATATAGAAGTACCTACTTTTCTTTTTAGTTAAGAGTTTGACTAACATTAGAATATATCTCAATATTGCACTGCACCCTGACAATTAGAAAATGTATTTGCCAGATTTCCAACACTTAAAACTCTCAAAAGACAGAAATAAAAAAATAACAAAAGCAAATATATTTAATATAGTATTGATCAATAAACTTCTAGCAGCTTGCAGAAGAACAGCAATTTATAACATACTTCACCCAAATTTAAAAAAAAATATTTTTTTTAACAGTGCACTTCTGGTTCGGGACAAGTTTTATGCAAAACTTTAGGTTAGTAAAACATAATAAAGCCATATAATTAATTCTATATGGCTTATGGCTGCTATGTATCAGAGTGTTTCAGAGCTTCCAAGCTGGGATTCAATTTTAAGTGATGGAAGGTTCTTCATTTACAAAAAGTTAGCTCCTTAAAACACAAAATATTTAAAGTAAAACCCACAACTCATAGGTAACAAGCTGGAGCTAGAACAAAAACAAAGTCTTTCAGCTGGTTTTGAAACCTGAGGATATGATTTTATTAAAAAACCCAACAAAATATAACTTACAATAGCGAAATGAATCTTAATATTTGGAAAACTACAAACTGCAGTAATTTTAGCGAGATTTCTAGTTAGAAATCAGAAGTACTACTTGGAAACTCAAGCAAATATTGCATCCCTGTCTCACACATCTCAACACAGCTTTCAGAACAAAAACCTTAGGGTTCTAACATGTCAAACCAATATACTCACTCTTTTGTGCCCTACCACTCTAACATTGGAGGTTTGCCAGACATTCATAATCATTCACAAAATTAAAAATTACCTTATTCAAAGTGATATAATTTTTTAAAGTGAAGATTTTTTAGCAGGTTAGTGTTAAGTAATGAGGTACTCCTAGCCTAACATGGTACTTAAATTATTTCAAAATCAGATTCTCTCAAAGCCTGTACTACATTACTATGTTTCAATAAGGCAATTAGTTAATGCCCTAAAAGCAACTGAGAACTACAGCTAATAACAATTCAAGGATGCTTTTTTTGAAAAATAACACTTACAAATTTATGAAGTTGATCTTACTACATAGCAAATAAGGTTGCACTATAACTAACTAGCATTCCTTAAACAGTCATCCCCTTCACTTGAAAACAAAAGAAACAAAATCCCTTTGTTTTTTCTTTCCTTTATTTTCTTACCTGGGAAAGCACAAAAACACTAAGATTATATCCATGCACAGAGATCTATGTACATCAAGTACCCTTTCAAAGTTTTCTACCTCAGCTTAGAGTCAGAACAAAATCACAGTGCATCACTGAGGAAAAGGATACAGAACACTTCCATTCACAATCAGTTTTCCAGACGAGTAGAGGTTGATATAATAGAACTTTCAAGACTGAATAATGTTTAAGAATCACTTTTGTACTTCCAAACATCAGAATGTAATCCTCTTAGCTGGCTACAGTTACTAGCTTTTAAAGACTGTTGCAAACCCCAGGAATTTACAAGTTACTAAAGAAGGAACAAATAACTGCTATCCTGACAAGGAAAAGGAAATTTTCTTTAGAAGACCACTCCATTGTAGACAAAAGCACAAAGAAAGAGAGCTTTCATTTTGAAAAGCATCTGTTATCTCCTAAGCACAGCCTTCTGAGCCTGTGTCTGTGCAGTCCCACAGTTAACAAGTACCAAAAATAGAGGATGTTACAATGAAGCAAGGACAAGACAGTTCTGAATTTCACAAGCACCTAACAAGCACCAGATCGACAATCAAAGAGCGGGGAGGGTCAGGTTATGCACACTGTATCAAATGTTTAACGTGAATGCTGCAGTTCTAACAACTGTCAGATTAGAAAGCCACAGCAGATGAAACAGCTCAACCTTCTTTACCAGTCATTTATATCCTGGCCTTGACATGTCCACAATGCTAAACAGTGGCACTCATTCAACCTTTAATTCCTTTAACACAACACACCAGAAATACTACCAAAATAAATCAAATAAGCAAGCAAAGTTGTGAAAGATGAGTAATACATCCCATTTCATATCCCTTGAATTACTTAAGCCCTTTCAACCTCCACATTTTTTCCACCATCACTTTAAATTTGATTACTCTAAACTTAAACCCTTAAAATATCAGAATGACAAAGAAATAAATTTCAGCATTCCTCCCTGCTTATCCACTTGAATTTCATATAGAGATGCCTACAACCCAAAATACTAAGAATTCTGCAATCGTAATATCATACAATTAAAAAACACCCTGTTATCAGTAAATATGTTAAGCTTTTACATTTTTATAAATACTCTTTATTGTAGATTAGTATTACCTGTTTCAACTTTATGCAGGGTTTCTCCATGGGGTGATCCATTTGTATCTTGTGATCCAAGATCTTTCTTCTGACCATTGGAGGTATAAACTCTCACTTGACTCATCAACTGCACAGGCAGGCGATTACATGGCAGAATATAAGACAGGCTCCCACTTTTCATTGAAACTTTCCATCCTATCAAGGGAAAGAAAAAAAAGCTGTCTCAGGCAGCCATTTTGGAAGGAAAAAGAAGGAAAAGCAGTCCTGCTCTGGCAGCAAAATTTATGGAAAGTGAGCTTTTAAGTACTGACATGTGCTCATCTTACCCATGTTTATGAGTAAAATTACAAAATGAGAATACATAGCATGCTTTCACTACCTCCCTTCAAACATCCACTTTTAAATTTCATTCTAAAACCAGAAAGTTTTTCCCACACTCCAGTATGCATTTTTCCCAGACCTCTGGATGTTCTTAAGGGTTAAAAAAACACCAAAACCAAAGCTATTTGACAAGATCAGCTTTGTGACACATTGTCTCATTCTAGTCACACTGCCTCAAAGTCTTTAAAAACCATATATTGATAAAAGAACAAATCCAGATCACTACAAAATTATTAGCCATGGTTGCCATTTCATTTCACTCTGTAAAAATCATGGCTTACCAATGAAGAGAAACTGAACTGTGTGCAAATTTCACAGTTGCTACAGAAATCACATAGAAAAGCAAACATTGTACAAAACATTTTACAGGGAAGTGTTTTAGATTTTGCAGCATTCACAAGAGAGAAATGACAATATAAATATGTAAAAAGTCCATTGAGAAACCACTCTGGGTAGGCAATCTTCTATCTCAACAGATTAGCCAAAAGCAGTTTCTTTTAGGGAGCATAATACTTCTGTAGAGAGGGTAAATAGCACCTCCAACCAGAAATGCAGCAGGGAAACTGTCTGCTTTGGAAAGCACTCACTAAGAAATAAATACATTTTTAAATTAATTAAGAGGTGCCAGTAAATAAAGCCATACAAAGCATGACCACTTAACCATGAACAACACAGCTCTCACCAAAAAAAAAAAAAATAGTATTTTACAAAATTGTCCATTCTGTAAAACTCTCAACAGCTTTCCTTTTTTTTTTATGTTCTGTACACCTGCACGTCTACATGCACCGACCTGAACCTTACTGAAGGAAAAATTTCCCTAAAAAAGGGCAGCGCTTACTGACAGCTGTCACAACGTGACAAAAGCCCTCAATACTGAACTCAACACAGTTCACTGAACTCACTGATTACGAATTTATAAAACCCTACAGTAAACACGTGGTACAAGATGAGCAGTGTTGTTTCCTACGCTTTGTGATGCTAGAGCAGTTAAAAACGGGAAACTTAATCAGCACATTTAGAGGGCATTTACCTACTAATTCATGCACACACAAGAAATCGCTAAAAAAAGAAAGAGCATTTGCTGCAATTTAACCGTGACTACGCAAAAAGGGAGAAAACTGCTGGGAATTCAAATTCCATGGGATGTGTGGCCTCCTCGGACCAACACCAGCCCTGTAAACCCGGGCCATATTTTATGTAATTCCTGCAAACTTGGGCCCGGCACGGGCATGACGCGCCCGCTGTGCGTCAGACGGGGCTG